GTCACCTAAATTACTTTAGCTAAATAAAGCAGTTTTAGTGTATAGATCATTCCCCTGCAATTTCACTGCTCAATTCACTGTCACTTAGGAGTTAAATCACTTTGTTTCTGTTTATGCAGCCCTAGCCACACCTCCCCTGGCTATGATTGACAGAGCCTGCATGAAAAAAAAAACTGGTTTCACTTTCAAACAGATGTAATTTACCTTAAATAATTGTATCTCAATCTCTAAATTGAACTTTAATCACATACAGGAGGCTCTTGCAGGGTCTAGCAAGCTATTAACATAGCAGGGGATAAGAAAATCTTAATTAAACAGAACTTGCAATAAAGAAAGCCTAAATAGGGCTCTCTTTACAGGAAGTGTTTATGGAAGGCTGTGCAAGTCACATGCAGGGAGGTGTGACTAGGGTTCATAAACAAAGGGATTTAACTCCTAAATGGCAGAGGATTGAACATGTTCTTCATTAAGCTAAAGTTGCTCAGATGACTATAGTGTCCCTTTAAGGCGCCTTAAACATTTGGAGTCTGCTACAGCAGACAGCCCGCGTGGCGAGAGGGAGCAGAGAGCACACAGCTCCCTCGCCGCGGCTGAGCTGCAGAGAGGCACCCGCCCCACTGGACCCCAGGGACAAGTCCACGCCAGCACTCCAGGTAGGAGGCTGGGTGGACATTTTTTGTTAAAATATAATAATTTGTTGTTCTTGTGTGTATGTGTGTCTGTGTGTGAGTGTGTGTCTGTGTGTGAGTGTGTGTCTGTGTGTGTGTGTGTGTCTGTGTGTGTGTGTGTGTGTGTGTGTGTGTGTGTGTGTGTGTGTCTGTGTGTGGGAGTGTGTGTCTGTGTGTGTGAGTGTGTGAGTGTGCCTGTGTGTGAGTGTGTCTGTGTGTGTGAAAGAGTGTGTCTGTATGTGAGTGTGTGTCTGTGTGTGTGTGTCTGTGTGTGTCTGTGTGTGAGTGTGTGTCTGTGTGTGAGTGTGTGTCTGTGTGTGAGTGTGTGTCAGTGTGTGAGTGTGTGCCTGTGTGTCTGTGTGTGAGTGTGTATCTGTGTGTGAGTGTGTGTCTGTGTGTGAGTGTCTGTGAGTGTATGTATGTGTGTGTGTGTGTCTGAATGTGTCTGTGAGTGTGTGTACGCATATATATATATATATATATATATATACACACACGCAGAGCCGGCGCTATCTGAGTGCCGGCTCTGCTCTAAGCCTCCATGGGCTGGTGGGGAGACCAAAGATCTACCTCACCGGCCCACAGCAGCATGGAGGGAGGCAGGAGAGGACCCAGGGAGCTCCAGACAGAAGCTCCGCCAGGTTCCTCTCGCGATATCTGAGCGTTGCTGCGGCAACGCTCAGATCTCGCGAGAGTTAACTCTAGCCCCGCAGGCTAGAGTTCACTCTCCACTGGACCACCAGGGATGGCACATGGCAGCAAGGATTTACTAATCTGACAAATCCCTCCAAACATACAGCACACACACATACAGCACCTACACACATACTGCTCACACACACACAGTACACTAACCACACCCTCACAAACACACACAGCACCTTTAAAAAAAACACAACACCCTCACACACAGCACACTAACAGCACCCTCACAAACACACACACACAAACAGCACCCTCACAAATACACGACACTCACACAAACTGCACCCTCACAGGACAAACATACACACACAAACACCCTCACACACAAACAGCACAGTCACAAACACACACACACACAAACACCCTGACATCACACTAACAGCACCCTCACACACACATCACACTAACTAGCAGTGTATGTGTGTGTGTGTGTGTATATATATCTATCTATACATACATATATATATATATATATATATACATATATAGATACATACACACACACACGGCGTGTGTTTGCGGTTTAGGGTGCACACCCTAATGCAATAGGCTGCGCAAGCCTATGTGCACTATTCTTTGTTATCTTTTTTTCTTAGATACTCAGCTGTATCCCAATTTAGTGGATTTGCTATTAGATTAGCGATCAGGTACAGGTATCTGTTCTGATAAATACCAGTACTGCCCACTAAATGTTTAATCAAGCAAGAGTTTAGAGGATATGTTCAGCGCCCATGGAAATTAATAGGATTGGCTTTGGAATCGACTGAGTCACTTCCTGGTTTGGTGCGAATTCTCAGCAGATGCTATAAACCATGAGAATTTGTAGTGGAGACTGGAAATTTAAAGGTAAGTATTTTGTATAAAATGCTAGGTTAATTTTGCATATTTATATAGCATTACCTAAACATTGTATTTAAACAGAGTCAACATACGTGTAAATTCCATATATTGTTAGGTGAATTATAGTTAAATTAACTCCATTCCTAAAGTTAATTTCAAATTCAAGGCCACAGTAGTCAAACTGAAAGAATAGCACAGCTATTTTGACTTTACATTTGACCTTTACGTTTGGTAAACTTTACCTTAGCAACAAAATTAAATACTGCATTAAAGGAGAATTCTAAGAATCCTGCTGTAGTGGTTATGGTGCCACGACCTATTTTCGCAATAAAATTGAAATTCAGATCACCATCCATGACCAGAAAATGTACGCATGAATTAACTACTCACTGCACTCTGCCTGCTATAAAATACACATTACCAAACCACAAGTGCAAAATAGGCAATTCTCATAGTTTTCAAAAACATATTCAAACTTCACTGTTTAAGCATTTCTGTCACAGAGTGTCACAGCTTGCACTGTCTATATGATAGACAGACTGACAAATATATAGACAAACATACAGCTTTGTGGAATCAAATGGGAAAAAATGAGGAATTGATTACTTACATTTACAATTTTACTAATTTATATTTGTCTATAGAATTGCAGCTTGGCTTACCTGAAGTGAGTTTAGAGCTGCAAAAATACCATGGATCCATTTTTCCTTGCTAGCCATTGTTCCAATGCCAAATCCCCAGGTGAGGCCAAGCAGGGGAGTTAAAATCAGAATGCATTTTGCAATGTGTTTCAACGTGCTTGAGTCGTCCTTTTTTTGTTTGTCTCCAACAGCAGGTCTGCAGAGTTTTTTCAGAACTACAAAAACAATCATGACGTTAACAAGAAGAATTGCTAACGCTGGCACTACAAATGCAATGAATGCATTGCTCTCCGTTGTGTTCAGCCAACATGCATTGCTTGATGTATACATGTTTCTTGGCTTGGTGACAGCCACAGTAATTACTGAAATTACCAGAGGGCATCCATAGCCCAGAGCGAATGATATAGTCATCATATTAGTTTTACTCATGTCATGCAAAACGTAAACAAGGCGATAGAAGAGAATAAGCCCCATCGTTAGCATCCAGAAAAACACGGACAGGTAAAAAAAATGTGTAAAGAAGGTGGTGGCCACACAGGCATCTGATACAGATTCTCCCGACTTTGGAGACAATGCAGCTCCGATAATAAACCAAATGTCCGCAAGCAGGAGCGATACCGCGATGTTTATTATACAAACATGACGCATGTAAGAGGTTTTGTTCTTTGTCACTGACTTCCACACTGTGGCTTCGACACCGATACAAATAACCAAACTCAGCAATGAAATCCCAACACCAATATAAGTAATATAGTCCAATACTGGATCTGGAGAATTATCACCATACGACATCAGAATTGAAAAAGAAGTCAAGTGGGTGCATTCACATGATACGTTGACTGAATTATTTCCTACAGATTTGCATCCAGTACCATCCCAAGCTTCTGTTTTAAAGTTCCAGAAAACACATTGTGGTTTAGATAATGAGGTATTGCTCATTTTAAATTCCATATTAATTTTAAAGTCTACAAATGAATTGGTTATGTTAGGAATAGTAGTAGTCATGACAAGACCATTCAAAACCTGTTTATTATTTCCGCTAGGTATAATGTCCTTTAAGGTTGAGTATGCAATGCTCACAATGCTTGAGTTCTGCGGAACCGAAGCCAGAACGTTGCCTATCAGAACACTGCCTGTTAGATCACTGTCTGTGATATCACTAGCAAAACGGAAAGGTTTTGCAAATATAGCTGTGTTTTTATCTACGATAATGCCTTCTAACTGGATGTTCGTGGTGGTTATGTTTACATTTTGACTGAAAACAAGTTTATTTGCAAAGTTTTCCACGGACTGAAGTAGACTTGAACTTTGGTTTGCTGGATTCTCTACAGTTTTCCAAGTATTAATAGATGAATTGTTCACAACTATGCTGGCTGTACGAAGGAAATCCTGGAAAGAAAACAGTGAAATTAATGTGAGACTGGTAGAAGTTATTAGACACATTGTGTTAACCCTTTTTTGATGTAAAAACATTCCATGCCATCCTACACAGAGTGGGCTTTAATGATTGGAACCACACTGAACGCTCTGCAATGTTGGTGTGAGTAGAGTTAAATCACTGCTCACATCTCCCTTATCTTTATCTACTAAAGAGTGTCCTAATTTGTTACCCTATGTAGGGGAACCACAAATCATGGTAAACTATTAGGGAGCCATCTACTAAACAGTGCCCTGAAGTTCGCTGAAACGAAGCTGAAATATTATTTTTTACCCTTGCCCTAGAATCCCTCACAAACCGCTCACTTGGAAGTTTTTCCTACTAGGGTAATGGTATAGTAATCTGTATGATTGCACTATAGTTGCATCAATTAAAATTAAATAGGAAACAAAGTATTCACGGTTCAAAAACAAGTAAGTATCTCTGGGCTAGTCTACCTTATATCAACTCAATCTGATTTCTATAACTTTTATCTGGTTTGGCTGCAAAAAATATTTCTTCTCTGGCAGATAATACCTAAGCATGTATTATTTGCAGCAAGGATAGTTAATTAAATAAGAAGCTTATAGTGTAATATCCGTTACCCCATGACAACTCATAGGTTAGTGCTGCTATGAATAGTGATTAGTGATGTCCTGAACGGTTCGCCAAGAACGGTTCGCCGCAGACTCATCCTTGAGTAAACTTTGACCCTGTACCTCACAGTCAGCAGACACATTCCAGCCAATCAGCATCAGACCCTCCCTCCCAGACCCTCCCACCTCCTGGACAGCATCCATTTTACATTCATTGTGAAGCTGCATTCTTAGTGAGCTGTCCAGGAGGTGGGAGGGTCTGGGAGGGAGGGTCTACTGCTGATTGGCTGGAATGTGTCTGCTGACTGTGAGGTACTCAATGATGAGTCCGTGGCGAACCGTTCCTGGCGAACCGTTCGCGAATCGTTCGGCGAACCGTTCGGGACATCACTAATAGTGATGTATATGGAGTTTTTCTTTACAGGCAATTTAATAATAATAGACTCTCAGAAAGTATCACATACAGCGGATACAGACACAATTAAAACACACTAAGATACTTACTTGTTTTTGAACTGTGAATACTTTGTTTCCTTTTTAATTTTCATTGATGCAACTATAGTGCAATCATACAGATTACTATATAATCACTCTACCTGGAAAAGATTTCCGATTGAGGAATTCTTTTCCCAATTTGCAACACTCTAGTATATTTTAAAAATGAGTTTAGCTCCTTGTATCCTTCCAAAATTAGACACTTCTCACAGGTTAAATGATGGTAATTTGTTTTAGTAAACCAAAAGGATTTTCTTTAAAATGTGGCAAGTGTAGTATTTCCAAATAACACAACGATAACATAACGGAATTGAAAGAAATATAAATAAACAAACATTTAAACTATTTGTTTTATAAATTGCTACAGTAAAAATGTAGTGTACCAATTGCAAATTCAAAAAACAATATATAGGGAGGACCAATGGGACAAATAAGAAAAGTATTAAACACAGGAATCGATTTAATATTATCGGATACGTTTTTGAAAAAATAATTAATTTCTTTGGATAAGCTTACATTTATTTATTATAAAAAATGTTTACATTTTGTGATATGTTAATATTTGTTCAAATTTTAAAAAAATATTAAAATGTCAAAAGTTTTTTTCTGAACATATTAAATCATTTGAAAAGCTTATCCAACCATATTAAATTGAGTCCATAGAGTCCCATTCATTGTAGCAATTACACGGATTTTGATTTTAATAATTTAATCTGAATTGGTATGCATTTTATTGAACCTAATTGAAGGGAGGGGAGAGATAGCACATGATGTGGGACAATAAGCAACTACTCCATTTTGTAATAATCTAATCCTATATGTTTACTATTTAATCAAAGAAGCTAAGAAACTCTCAATCATTGACCATATATCTTCTCTTCATGCTAAAAGAAGATATTTTTTTTCTTTTTCTCTATCAAATTTATGATTACACTTTTGGTCAGGGCTCGAGTCCTGCAGGAACGCATGGGAACGGCGTTCCTGCACTTTTTCCAAAGCAGGAACGCCGTTCCCGTTAGCTGTCCTGCAGGACCGGCCCTGCTACCTGCACAGAGGGGCCAGCACACGCTGTGTTCCCTCTCCAGCTATAACTCTCGCGAGACCCGCGGCTGTTACCATGGCAACGCTCCGCACAGGCGAGTCTCGCGAGAGTTAGAGCTGGAGAGGGAACACAGCGTGTGATGGCCCCTCTGTGCAGCGGCTGGTTCCCTCCACCCGGACCACCAGGCGATCTCCCCCCTCCCTGACAAGGTAAGAAGCAGGGAGGGGGGAATAAAATAAAAAAAATATAGACACATAAAGTTTAAAAAAATGCTCCCCCCCACACCCATCATCCAGCACTCACACACCCATCATCCAGCACTCACACACCCATCATCCAGCACTCACACACCCATCATCCAGCACACACACACAATCATCCAGCACTCACACACCCATCATCCAGCACACACACATCATCCAACACTCACACATCATCCAGCACTCACACACACATCATCCAGCACACCCATCATCCAGCACACACACACACACATCATCCAGCACACACACACACACACATCATCCAGCACACACACACACACATCATCCAGCACCTACACACACCCATCATCCAGCACTCACACACACACCCATCATCCAGCACTCACACACACACCCATCATCCAGCACTCACACACCCATCATCCAGCACTCACACACACACCCATCATCCAGCACTCACACACCCATCATCCAGCACTCACACACAGACCCATCATCCAGCACCACACACACACCCATCATCCAGCACACACACACATCATCCAGCACACACACACACATCATCCAGCACTCACACACACATCATCCAGCACCTCACACACATAATCCAACACACACACACATCATCCAGCACACACACAATCCCAGCACACACACACACACACATAATCCAGCACACACACACACATCATCCAGCACACACACACACACATCATCCAGCACACGCACAGACACACATCATCCAGCACACGCACACACATCATCCAGCACTCGCACACACATCATCCAGCACTCACACACACGTCATCCAGCGCGCACACACTGCATTCATTATACACACTCTTCACTCACTACAAACACACTACATTCACTATACACCCTCTGCATTCACTATACACACTCTGCATTTATTATGCACATTCTGCACTCACTACACACTACATTCACTATACACACTCTGCATTCACTACAAACACACTACATACACTGCATTCAGTGTACACACTCTACACTCACTAAAAACACACTGCATTCATTATACACACTCTGCATTCACTACAAACACACTACATTCATTATACACACCCTGCACTGCACTATATGCACAGGGAGTGTACTTTTTTTTTAAAGGGCATAAGGGAATCTTGGGTGAGTTCCCACACTTTTTAACCCAGGACTTGACCCCTGCTTTTGGTGCCCAAATGATCTGCATAAACCTAATCTTATTAACATTAGCACATGGAATATTTATTTATGTTAGATGAACATAAATCTTACCTCCATTAATGATTCTTGTACTGTTGTGGCGATGTTATTAACTTGTGATAACATGCTTACTACAAGTGCTAAATTATTAGATGAGGAAGTTATGTTGTTCGAGTCATTGTTCACTTCTACATAAATATTTTTAAGCACATCTGGTAGCTGGGCTTCAGAATCTGGACTTGTTAGTGCCTAAAAAAAACCCCCCAAAAAACAGAAAAGCAACATTAACCATATACAGTAAAAAAAATAAAATATATATTTGCATGGTTATTGCATTACAGAGTAAAACCAGCATTAATTGTTTGTTGATTGTGAAATTAATTGTCAAAATGCCAGCTGTTAGCTTAACTAACCTAACACATGCTTTTGAACAGATGTACTCAGGCAATCAGATTAAAGGGACACTATAGTCACCAAAACAACTACAATTTAGTTGCTCTGGTCTATATAACCTGTCCTTGCAGGCTTTTTTAATGTAAACACTGCCTTTTCAGAGAAAGTTTTTACATTACTGCCTAGCGATACCTCTAGTGTCAATCACCCAGATACCTCTAGTGTCAATCACTCAGAGGTGCTTGCTGGGTCAGTGCAGCATAAAGTAGAGTGCTGCACGCTTTGCATGGAGGTGCTGAACTTTCCTTATAGAGAAGCATTGAGTCAATGCATCCCTATGAGGAGATGCTGATTGGCGCAGAGCTGCATTTTGCCGCACATGCGTGATAGCCTCCCGATGCTTTCCTAGAGAAAAGCATTGGATTCGCTGAGATTATCAATTGTGATGATCTCGGCCAAGTAGGCGAAGCACGTTTGGACCAGTGGTGCTGGAAAAAGTTGAGTAAACCACCTTTTCAACCAACGGTAAGGGGGTGCATGGGGCCTAAACCGCTATTTAGACCTACAATGAGGAAAAAAAGTATTTAATCCCCTGGATTTTGAACGTTTGTCCACTGACAAAGAAATTATCACTCTAGAATTTTAATGGTAGGTGTATTTTAACAGTGAGACAGAATAACAAAAAAATAATCCAGAAAAACACATTTCAAAACAGTTATAAATTGATTAGCATGTCAATGAGTAATATAAGTATGTGATCCCCTATCAATCAGCAAGATTTCTGGCTTCCAGGTGTCTTTTATACAGGTTACGAGCTGAGATTAGGAGCACTCTCTTAAAGGTAGTGCTCCTAATCTCAGCACATTACCTGTATAAAAGACAATCAATCAGAATCCAAACTCTCCACCATGGCCAAGACCAAAGAGCTGTCCAAGGATGTCAGAAACAAGATTCTAGAACTACAGAAGGCTGGAATGGGCTACAAGACCACCGCCAAGCAGCTTAGTGAGAAGAAGGTGACAACAGTTGGTGCAATTATTCGCAAATGGAAGAAGCACAAAATAACTGTCAGTCTCCCTCGGTCTGGTGCTCCATGCAAGATCTCACCTTGTGGAGTTACAATGATCATGAGAACAGTGAGGAATCAGGATCAGGATCTTGTTAATGATCTCAAGGCAGCTGGGACCATAGTCACCAAGAAAACAATTGGTAGCAGACTAAGCCATGAAGGACTGAAATCCTGCAGCACCCGCAAGGCCCCCCTGCTCAAGAAAGCACATGTACAGGCCCGTCTGAAGTTTGCCAATAAACATCTGAATGATTGTGTGAAAGTGTTGTTTGTGGTCAGATGAGACCAAAATGTATTTTTTTGGCATCAACTCAACTCTCTGTGTTTGGAGGAGGAGGAATTCTGCCTATGACCCCAAGAACACCAGCCTAGAAACTTTAATAGAAAAAAGGCTGGCTACTATACAAGATAGTAATCATAAATCCAGGAGCTTACTTAGTATAATATGTAAAAAGAAGGAGAACAAATAAATAGTATCTGTCAAAGAGTTAACTGAGTTGGTGAATATAGCAAAAAAATGTATCTATCAGAAGGATACAATAGCT